TACGCCAGTTTCCTCATCTGAAAAATGGGGGTAATAACAGCCTCTACTTCATAAGGTCAATAGTAGTAAATGAGTTATTGTATGTAGAGGGCTTAGAAAAGAGCCTAGCAAAATTAAACACTATATGAATATTTTTTTTTTAAAGAGAGAGTGAGAGAGGAGAGAGAGAGAGAGAGAGAGAGTGAGTTTTAATATTTATTTTTTAGTTCTCGGCGGACACAACATCTTTGTTGGTATGTGGTGCTGAGGATCGAACCCGGGCCGCACGCATGCCAGGCGAGCGCGCTACCGCTGAGCCACATCTCCAGCCCACTATATGAATATTAACACGGGCTATTCTTTAAGTCATTATTTCTTTCTCTTTCTTTCCCCTCCCCCTTCTTTCCTTTCTTCCTTCCTTTCTTTTCATGCTAGGCAAGTTCTCTACTGTTAGGGTCCATACCCTGCCAACCCTCACCTTTTAAATTTAATTTAATTTTTAATTTTGAGACGTCTTGCTAAGTTGTCTAGGCTGGCCTTGAACTATCCATTCTCCTGACTTAGCTTTCCAAGTATCTGGCTTTACATATGTGCATCACCACACTCAGCAATTCATTAGTTCTTAAACTTCTGATTGCAAAGTGTTCCTAGTGGATTGAAATACAAAGAAACAGAATAGAATAAAACATTGTGCATAGTAAGGGTAAATATTATTGTAGATTGTGATATATGTACCCAAACTATGAGTTTCGATCTTTGTTCTTTTTGAGTAATTTGAATCAGAACTTACTGCTTATTTGTATGCACCCCAAGCGGAGAGAGGACATGAAGAATGGAAACGCCATTGATGTTGGTTAAGTGCACTTGGTTCTACTATTCTTCTACTGATGATCAGTATGGCTTGGCAGGTGACCTAAACACTGCCTCAACTTCCCTTTCGTTAAAAGAGTGAATTTCTAGTACATATAAGAATATGTGAAACACTGAGCTTTTTAGAGTCCAGTACTACTAATTAGATAACATCTCTCAACTTGAAGTTTGCAAATAATAGCTTGACAGCATCATGGGGTTAATTATGACTCCTCTCACTTTCTTTTTCAGATAAAAAGTCCAAAAGTCTGATTTACAATAAATCAAAATTGGCCAAACTTCCTAAAGACTAATGAAATTCCTAGAATTGACAATGAAATAGACTTATTATGATTGTTATATTAATTTCAGATTTATTTAAAATTTTTAAAAATATTTTTTAGTTATACATGGACACAATATCTTTATTTTATTTATTTATTTTTATGTGGTGCTGAGGATCGAACTCAGGATCTCACATGTGAGAGGCCAGTGCTCTACCGCTGAGCCACAACTCCAGCCCCTATTTAAAATTTAAACATTGAAAATTTAAACATTTTTAACATAGCCTTTCCTATTTTACCCTTCGTGGCTATTCCTTTTTGTTTTCTTCCTTCTTTTACAATTTAATTAAGTCTAAGTTAAAACCTGAGGATGAGGGGAAGTGTAGTGTGACACTCACTATTCAGGGAGAGGAAGTTAAGTTTTTAAACATCTTGTGTTCATCTTTTTTAAGGCATGAAAATGGGAATTGGGACTTTGTTGAACCATCAATGAATTGGCAGATAAGAGGAAAGAGCAGTCCAGGGAGAAAACCTAGTCAATGAGAAGGAACTTTGCACCAGCAAGGGCTGAAGCACTAATGCAATATGGGAGAGTGAAGGGCAAAAGCATAGGGGGAAAAATATTAAAGTGCTGTGAAGAAGTTAAAGACAGTTATCATTATCATCCTAACAAGCAGAAATAAATGAAAAGCCGCAGGGGGGGAAAAAAAAACTGAGATGGAAAAGGAAAAGGCTGACGTTCTTTTGTAAAGCTGACAGATCTCCCAGCATTTGATTTGTTGCCAAAAAACTATAACCAAAAAACTCAAAAAATTTTTTTTCAAATTCTATTATTGCTGTCAATCAGGGCAGAATGAAGACCACTCAAAAGGATCCCTAGGCTACCACTAGTTTCTCCTCTTTGAAAAGAGCAGAGGTGTAAAACAGAAACCAGTTTTGTATTGCTCAATTAACATGGTTTCTTCCCCCTTCTTTAAGGAAAAAAAAAGTATGTTGCACTTTCACTTTTCCCTATGCTTTCTCAATTTCATATTCCTTGTAATTAATATTAATAGATAATTATCAATGGATCAGTAAATGGAGACAAAAGGAAAGCATTTGCCCCAAACTATAATTGGGTCACAGAGCAGAAGTGGCCTTCAAATTTGTAACCTCTAAATTTCTATTATTACCAGACAGCCATTACCACTAAAGAAGAAATTCTAGACAGCCTAGTAGCAGTTACTTTGGATCCTTTATGTACTTAATACTACATACTATTTAGTGGAAGAGGATGAAACAATGGGTAAATCCTTGCACAAACCCTTTGGAGCTCTTAAATGCATTCAGGCACATTTATGGTGGTCCTGATCAGCTCTTCCTGTTGGCAGCCAAGAAGGTGAGCTAGGAGGCCACATGAAATCCATCTAATACCTATTTACTGACCAATACTAACACTGAATTTTCACTGTTGATGAAGACCATTAGTATGTAGAACTACAGCATTCATTACTTCACAGCACCTATTTGTTTCTGAAGCCTGTACTTTTGTACCTGTTCAATTCTGTTTCTGGGTTTAAGAACCATCCTCATTTGCTTTTAGTGTTTTAAATTTTATATCATACAATAAATTTTATTGATACTCTGAAAATCCTCAGTAAGCCTGCAAAAAATACGTCTTAGAACCTCTCTATTAGCATAAGATATGTAATGTAGTCTGCTTGGTTTCACATGCGTTCAAATTTGTAACTCTGAGGCTAAGACTTTGGGAATTCAAGGGCAAAGTGAATTTTAATTTCGTACATTTTGTACCTTGATGAACAGTGGGGAAAAGATGCCCTTAGTTTGACTGGTTCTAGCCACAGTTTCCTGTCACTCTTTCTCAAACCATTACACATAAAATCAGAGGCACAAAAGATCCTTCCCTCAAGATTAGATTCCTGTGGAAAGCAAATCACAAGAACAGTGGAGAATAATAATGTAGTTGATTTCTGAAAAGTCTACTTACTGTCCAATATGTTTTGTTTCTCAGGTCTTTACTAAAAAGCAAGTAATCACTTTTATGGCTGATAAAATGACTATCAAACATTTATCATTATTTACAGCTCTAGAATCACTTTTTAATATATCAGTTATCTTGGTTTCTAAAAATTCTTTCTTCTTGCTAGACACAGAAGCCAGGTGCTGAAAGCTGACCGGGTGCCAAGTCTCAGGACTGTCCCAGCCTTCCACCTCAGCTCTGCAGCCGAGCCTTCTGAATATTCTCGCGGTTGGAAAATCTATTCCCCCAGACTCGCAGATGCTGTTCTCCCCCCACTGGCTCTGCACAGAACATCATTATCTTTGCCGAGCTTCTGTCTCTATGGCAATAACAGATGGGAAGTGTTGTGGAATTATTCATGTTCAGAAAAGGAGGCAGTCAGGGAGGGGGAAAGTTGGGGGTGGGAGAGGGGGCACGACCTATGGGGGCGTAGGGAAGGGAACCTAGATGGGGGTGGGGGCGAGGTTGGCTGAGGACAAGAGGCTTGTGAGTCTTTGGTAGGCCTGTGGAGAGGAAAAGAGGGGAATAAAACTAGGAGTACCAGTCGCAGACTCCAAATGTGGACCCCCACCATAGGAGCAGCCTCGAAACAGCGAAACAAGAAATTGAACGAAAATGAGCGGAAAAAAAAAAAAAAAAGAAAGAAAGGTCACAAAGCTCGAGTCCCTCCTGAAGTCAGCCTACTGCTACTCGGTGGACTATTTCAGTTCCTGATCTTGCGGTGGGGTGGAGAAAAGGGGATTTCTCGGTGTTTCGAAATGTGACGGAGCAGCTCGGCAGAGTTCAGTCTGCTAACCGGCCACCCCCACCCCACAGGGCCCTGAGGGTCGCGGCCGAGAGCTGTTAGTCGTTATCTTTCCCCACCTCGTCTTCTCTCTCAAAAACAAAAACCCCGAGTCCAAACCCCTTCGGTAAACACTGCAAAAACATGTAATTTATAGCTCCCTGTAGGAACCGAGAAGGCAGCCTGGTGGGGTGGGAGGCTGACAAGCGGGGGACAGAAATGTTTCCCCTCGGTTTGGCCGGAACTTTGGCCACCCCGCCCGCCTGGCCCGATGGCGGATGGAGGTCAGCCGGGGGAAGGCGTCTGGGTGGAGGCCGCAGGGGCGGGGCGGAGCGCCGGCAGCTGGCAGGGCGGCCCTCGGGCAGGAGGCCCCCGCGGGGGCGAGGGCAGCCGGGTGGGAGGCCCCGCGAGGCGGGCCCGGGGGAGCGAGGCCAACACCGGGCGCGCTGCAGGGCGGCTGCCGCCCGGCTACCTCCGGGGCGGGGCGGCCCAGCTGCGGTCCGCGGGGGGAGGGTCGCCCCCGCCTGACCTCGGGCAGCGGCGCTCTGCCTCCGCCCGGCCGGCTGCTGGGGTCGCGCACAGTGCACCCAGCGGCCGCCCTGCCCCCTCCCTCCCTGTCGCGCGACGGCCGAGCGGCCAGGGCGCCCCCGGGTCTGGCCCGTCACCACAGAGCCGCGGGTGGGGCGGGGGTGGGGCTGTGGCGGCCCCAGACAGCCGGCTGGGCGACTCGAGGAAGGAAGGAGGGAGGGCGGCGGTGGGGGTGGGGCGGGGAGGGAACATCCTGTCTGCGCCGGGTGCACCGCAGACAGCGCCGCGCGCCAGCCGCCCAGACGGCGCGCTGGGCCAGGAGCGCCGGGCGCGCGCCTGAGGGGGGAGAACGCGCGCGCGCGCGCGGGGGGGGCAGAGCGGGGGGAGTGATCCCTGAGGAGCCACAATAGGCCAGACGGCGCGCGCGTCCCCGAAGGGACTCGGAGCCGCGAGGGGGCGGCGACGCCGGCGGGCTCGCGCGCGCGGGGCCGCCGCTGGCTCCGTTCCCTCCTCCACCCCCTCCCCGCCGCCCTCGTTCTCCCCCGGGCGGCCGGAGACGGCGGCGGCGTCTGCGGGAAGCCGTGTGTCTCCGCAGTGACGTGGGCGGGCCGAGGGCACGGTGACGTCAGAGGGCTGTGTGTAGCGATGTGTGTGGGGTTCGGAGCGGCGCCGGCACAGCCGAAGGGAGCGGGCGAGCGGCGGCGACGGCGGCGGCGGGCACAGGTGCGGCCCCAGCTCGCGGGGGAACGCGGCGGAGGTGGCGGGAGGCCAGGGGCGCGCGACCTCCAGGGAGCCCGACGGCGGCGACTGGGGTGGTGGGAGTTAACAAAGCTGGTGGAGCTTCCCGGGGCGCGGAGACCAAGAGTCCGGGGTTCGGATGCGCAGGTCCGGGCGGGGTCGTGGCCAGAGGGGTCGCGGGGCGGACGTCCCACGGTGGATCAAGCCTGATAGATCCCGGGCGGTGAGCGCAGGCAGGGGAGGGTGTTGCACTTGACCAGAGACGCCTGGACCCCGGAGACCTGGACGCCGGTCACCGCCCCCACACCCGCCCGTCTGCGCACCGCGGGGATGCCCGGGGCTCGACCTGGCTGGTCAGCCCGAGCGGCAAGGGATCTGGGCTGGGCGGCCAACCTGCTCGCGGTCCCCAGTTGGGTCTGGCTCAGGGCCGGCGGGGGGAGGTGTAGCCCTAGGGGCGCTGGGGTAACACCGGAGAACTTCCCGGGGAGAGGGTGCGCGGGGGATTTCCATCGTTCACCCCGCGGCCCCGTAGTGGGCGATGTGGGGAGGACACTTGGGGTGATCCCAGGTTCGCGGGTGGGGGTTGGGGGACTCCTCCCTCTACTTCCCTCCACCCCTTTTCACACCCCCCCAGAGGTCCCGGCACTCTAAGCTCCTTGTCTTCCCCATTTCGGGTGAAAGATGGGTGGGTGGCTTTGCGTGGGCGGAGCGCTTCAGGGTTTTAGGGGCTCCCCCATTCTAGGTCATGTCTCCTGCCCTCTTCCTTGGCCTGCGTTGGATGAGGTGTCCTTATGGTGGCGAAAGTCAGTAGGATGGCTAGTGACTTTCGTCCTTAATCCTTTGGGTTTGTTTTAAGGTAAACTGCTGGGAGTTTGGAGAGCAAAAATTTCTATTTATTGGATTTCTTTTGGGTATTCTTTAAAGGAGGAAGTGGAAGAATCTTTTCTTTTTCTCTCTTCCTCCATTTGCATTCTTTGTGAGGTCTGTCTGCCTTGTGGTTTTTGTCCCGGATTAATCTTGTTCAAGGATGGAGGTTCCCAGGCATAGTGTCTTATAGCTTTTGGTTTCCATTAAGCAAAATTACTAACCTTTTAAAGGGAAAGTTAATTTTTGCCTACAGTCATTTTAGAAAGATAGCATACGTTGATTAGATGAATCAATGCACTTGAGATTGTAACTTAGTTACTTACATTAACTCCTATGTTTTTTGGGGGGAGATGAATAAAATTGTGTGTTTTAAAAAATTAGATGAAATAATGGGTTATATTTTAGTTATAGTAGTGTAACTGAGAAAGCCTCTGGTACTGAGTTTCGGTTGAGATCATCTGTTTAAGGTTTTTCATATTCTGAATTTGAGTAGCCTTACTCTTTTTGAGGGATATTTTTGCTCCCTTTGCCCACCTTCCTATTTAAATGAAGCTTCTTCTAGTTACTTGGTGTTAATTTTGAAGAAATCACTCAAGTGTCACCTTTGGTAAAGTGAACTTAGTTTAAGATTAAGAAACTGGTTTCAAACTGACCCTTTGGCCTCTGGAGCAAATTCAAATGTAACTCTTCCTCCATCCCCTTTCTCTTCTTTCAGATTAATTTAAAGAAGAATGAAGTGTAATTCTTGAAGATAATTGGGCAGTTTTTTTGTTAACTATCATTTTTGATTGTAGAAGTTCAAGTGAAGCTAGAGGCCCTTACTGGTGTGAAGATTTATACAAGTCTTCAATTTGTCAGCACAGACCAACCAACCATTTTTAGAGGGGATACTCCCCCTCTCCTTTTTTGGTATCTTGCTGGTAAAAATTAAATTTGTTTGCATTATTTTGACTGGTGTCAGAGTCTAGGTTTTATGAAACATCAATGGCATAAACTTTACACATGCTTTGCTTAAAAAAAAAAAAGATTAATCAAACCATTGCCTTGAAGCTGGACCTCTTGAATTGAGAAATTGGTAATGTTATTTTACATATATATGAAGAATCCAAGGAAAGCCTCCTCAGAAGTGTACCTCTTAAGATTATATTTATTACTAGAAGCAAAAAGAGACATTTTGTAGTATTTGCAGTGAAATTATACTAGGATAAGCAGAACCAAAACAAAGTTGCAAAATCTATTGGGTAAGAATATTTCCTTTTGGAAATTTGTAATTTTTTATGAATAGGTTAAAAGTATTTGATACAGTTACTCTTCTTCAAATAAGTAACTAAATAAAAATGCAAATCTCAGACTTAATTATTTAATACAATAGCATAGCAATGGAAAACCTACAGGCAAATTTCTCCTTAGTTCAGGGCTCAAATAAAAAACTGAATGGGATGGGAGATGATGGCAGCCCGCCCGTGAAAAAAATGATGACAGACATTCATGCAAATGGAAAAATGATAAACAAGATGCCAACGGTAAAGAAGGAACACTTGGATGACTATGGAGAAGCACCTATGGAAACTGATGGAGAACCTGTCAAGCGGACCTGTACTTCTGTGCCTGAACCTTTAAATTTAAATCCCAGTTTGAAACATACATTGGCACAATTCCATTTAAGTAGTCAGAGCTCTTTGGGTGGACCAGCAGCATTTTCTGCTCGGTATTCCCAAGAAAGCATGTCACCTACTGTATTTTTGCCTCTTCCATCTCCTCAGGTTCTTCCTGGCCCACTTCTCATCCCTTCTGATAGCTCCACAGAGCTCACCCAGACTGTTTTGGAAGGGGAATCTATTTCTTGTTTTCAAGTTGGAGGAGAAAAGAGACTCTGTTTGCCCCAAGTCTTAAATTCTGTTCTCCGAGAATTTTCACTTCAGCAAATAAATACAGTATGTGATGAGTTATATATATATTGTTCAAGGTGTACTTCAGACCAGCTTCATATCTTAAAGGTCCTGGGAATACTTCCTTTCAATGCTCCATCCTGTGGGCTGATCACATTAACTGATGCACAAAGACTGTGTAATGCTTTATTGCGGCCACGAACTTTTCCTCAAAATGGTAGTGTACTTCCTGCTAAAAACTCATGGGCTCAGTTAAAGGAAACTGGCAGTGCCTTTGAAGTGGAACATGAATGCTTGGGCAAATGTCAGGGTCTCTTTGCACCTCAGTTTTATGTTCAGCCCGATGCTCCATGTATTCAGTGTCTGGAGTGCTGTGGAATGTTTGCACCCCAGACATTTGTGATGCATTCTCACAGATCACCTGACAAAAGAACTTGCCACTGGGGCTTTGAATCAGCCAAATGGCATTGTTATCTTCATGTGAACCAAAAATACTTGGGGACACCTGAAGAAAAGAAACTGAAGATAATTTTAGAAGAAATGAAGGAGAAGTTTAGTCTGAGAAATGGAAAAAGAACTCAATCCAAGGCAAGTAGCAATTTTGAACAAGGGTAATAGTTTACTTTGAAATCAAAATTTTATATTTAGAGTATAATTTACACATTGTTAAGAAAGATACTGCTTATGCAACAACATGACACAAACCAATGTCATATTACATCTGTATTATAATTTTTAGGCTATAAAGTATTTTCCTATTTAACCTTCCAAACAACCTTGTGGATTGTAGGATTATTCCCATTTCACAGAAAAAATGAGGTTGAGATGAGTGGCAGAGTTTGAGATGAGTGGCAGTTCCCAAAATTGTATAGTCAGGGAGTGGAAGAGTTGGGCTTTGTTTTGGTCCTATTGTCATTTTCACACATCCTGCTTCTTGATGACTAAATCTATTGTTTTCTTAGGACTCAAGATAATTTACACTTTGGTATTATGGTGTTATCTCCATTTGCAAATGATATAATGATTAGCCAAAACATTTCTTATGTGGGCCCAAAATAGCATTTTTCAAAGACATGGCTATGTTTATGTTTAAACCTGATGTTTATATGGTTGAATATTCAGGCTTGATCAATGTTGGAAACAAATAGAAAAAACATTTATCTGAAGTATTTGTGATTCTAGTAATCAAGGTATTTATTTTTGGTACAGGGAATTGAATCCTGGGGAGATTTACCACTGAGCTACCTCCCCAGTCCTTTTTAATTTTTATATTGAGATAGAATTTCACTGAGTTGCTGGGGTTCTTCTTGATTCTGAGGCTAGGCTTAAACTTGGGATGCTCCTGCCTCAGCCTTCTGAGTTGCTGGGACAGACATGCACTACTGTGCCTAGTCCAAGATATTTTTTTTTAAAGTAAGGAATAATTTTTAAAATTTATGACACAACTAGAATGAAGAAGTTTATTTTACATTAATAAACTATTAATATAACAAGCTATTAGCAAAAAGATCTGAAACTTACTATTCTTTTCACTGCATTATTTGATAACCTAAGTTAATATCTTCATTCTAATTAAGAATTTGAATGCCTGGTAATAGATGATTTGAATTATTAAGTACTATTTGATCTTGTTATTGTATGTATCTTCCTACTTGATTTTAAATTGATATATAGTAACAATACCAAACACTTCATGGTTTAAAATGTAGCATGCATTGCTCCTGGGCACTTTTATATACATGATTTATTTAATTCTTATAACAAAAGGCTGGCATGTTTTGTTTAAAACTTTAAATTTTTTCACTATTAATTTTTATTGCTTGTCCTTATCTCTGTCTTGTTTTATAGAAGAAATGAATGAGCATATTAAATGGCTGACCCAAAGTTGTTCATAGCAAAGTTAGGGCTGAATTAGAATTTAAAATTAGATGTCTTGTGCTTTATCATCGTATTCTTTAAGATTTTCAGGGAAATTTACTTAGCATAGTTTTAAGACAATGTTTTGCTTCTGAAACTCAATGAAGATGGTAGACTTTTAGACTCTAGAGTAGTTTGTTGCTTCCCAAAGGGTTAGTACTTTAAATTCCTTGCCAGTGGCTACTAGATTGAGGTATAGTTATTAACTAGTTTTAAAGCTCTACTGACTTCAAGCCAGTACTCAAAAGTTTGAAACTTGCTTACAGCTGTATTTCTGCAATACTGAAGTTTGTGCTCAGAGGTCATCTGTTTTCACAATGTGAAATGACCCTTTTTGATACTTATGTTATCATTGCCCTCAAACTATAAGTAGAGACTCTATGCTTATATTTCTGTAGGTGGTCATATTATTTGTCAGATATTCTTTTTTGAATCTTTGTTATTCTTGACATAAGTATTTTTTGGATAAACCACCTTGCCTTTATTCCAGTCTGTGTTTGTGTAAAAAAACAGAACCATGGTAAAGGGTTGAGTGGGGGAAAAAGATAGTGGGTAAATTAACTGAAACTGAATGTGATGAGATTTGGTTAAAATTGAATCCATCCTTTATCTGGGAAGTAGTCCATTATTGTCCCAGAACTTATTAATTTTGAATACACTTTTGATTTTGGGAGAGAGAGTGAGGTTTTTTTTCTCCCATCTCTTTGCCATGTTATATTTTGCATTTTTTGCAACATTTTCTTTCTTTCTTTCTTTTCTTTTTTTTT